GACATTGAGGAAGATGGGACAGTAAGATTGTAAGAGCCAGAAGAGGAGGTCCACGACCATAAGGAAACAGTATCTTTCAGGCTCCTGGGACCTTGCTCATATGAACTCACAGCAATGGTGACAGTATGCGCAAGACCCATGCAAACTCTATCGGACAAAATCCAGCATAGAACTGGGAAAATAGACCAGAGGCTATAACTTTGACTAGGAACCACTGACAGCTCATCACTGCTGGATGAAGGATAATTGATCTTCTTCAAGGAAGTTGATGCTAGATAGACTAAACAGACTCGAGTGGATGAACTCACACCAAGGGACATCTGGGTACAAAAAGGTGACTTAGATAGGCCTTAGCATTTATGACAAAATTCATGAAGTCCTGTGGGTGGGCTATGGGGGGGTACAAATACAGATGCGGTGGCTAAATATGATTAAGATATATTGTATGAAGTCCACAACAATTCAGTAAAAATGCATTTAAAAATTTATAAAGAAGTACTGTTGAGTTCCAGGATCAGTGAAGGTACAGAGGAAGCATTAAAGAAAATGAAGGAATTACTGAAAAGGAATGGGGAACACAAACACCAGTGCAGTGAGATGCATTGGAAGTAAACCATGGGGAAAGCATTGTCCGGGAGAGCTCCATGTCAGCTGCCAAGTGCAGCTGTAGTAGAGGGAAGATGGTGTGAGGACAAGGGGAATGAAGAAAGGAAAGCCAAAGGCTATAGTTAATAAACAGCATAAGACCATACAAAACAGGCTGACTCCAGGTTATAAACCACCAACAGCTAAACCTAAAATATGAATACAGTTCTCCCTAGATCGCACAGTTGATCAGCAGCAGGGATTCTGCTGTATGTTACTGATGAACATCAAGTGAGGATGGATGCTTGTATATGAGAATTTGCAAGTTATGATCATCTATGGTTCACGCACAACGATGATGGCAGGAAAGTTTCAATATGCAGTAATTTTGTGTGTAAGAAGTCATCCTGTGGCATGTTGTAGGTAAAGATTTTTTTCTGAAACACCTTTTACCCTTTAGAATTGGACAGCATATTTGATGAAGTTCAGTGTAGTTTTTACTGAAGGATTTATGAGATCTTAGTACTCATGAGGGAAATTAAGCATATTAGTAATCGGAAAAGAAGAAAGTTGTTTAAATTACCTCCAGTTTGCTTCAATTGAACTCATCTATTTTAGCTGGTATTCCACTACTTGAACTTCCTTCCACTGTTATATTAAAAAAAAATCTCTTCTGATAATCTCATTGCATTTTTAAAAAGTTGTTATTGTTTCCCATTGGCAAGCTGAATCTAGTGTATTCACTGGAGGCTGAATTATTTCCTTTTCTTTCTTGCTCTGAAAGAAGAGGCAGTGGCTGAATTGTGGCTTCGTTTGACTGACACAGTTCTTTCCAGGATGTCGGGGACATGAATGCTCTCTCCCACAACTCTTGTGATGATTTTCACTTACTCTGAACAGTCCTGGTGACTCATGGCCATCAGCTTTGGTGGTGGATTTTACTTCCTTTCTGAGAGTAGAGCGTCTCTCTGGGTAGGAATTGAGGCTCACCCTAGTTCAGGGCTCCTAAGCTCGTCCCTGGAAGAGGCATGAACAACAGAGCTGTCAGCCAAAGCTGGAAACACGTAAAGTTCTTGCCTGAACTCTGTTCACTTTGTCATTCTGTATGTGCCCCAGAGAAGCCATTAAGCAGCCCCAAATTCTCTACTCCCCTGGTTTAAGAAGTATGGCCTTTAGGGACCCAAACCCTCCTAAACTGTACATTTAAAAGTTTAGGATTTAGATTGCTTTTGGCCTAAATCTGCCTAGGAAAACTGCTTGTCCTCTTCTCTGATGGTACATCTGACTCTGGGTCTTGGCTTCTCTCTCAGCACCATCCCATCTCTGGGTCCTGGCTTATCTCTCAGCACCGTCCCATCTCTGGAGCCTGGCTTCTCTCTCAGCATCATCATCTCTGGAGCTTGGCTTCTCTCTCAACCCCATCCCAACTCTTTTCATTGTTCAGGCCTCTGGTATCTAACCTTCCACTTTGTCCTTGATATTTCAAAGTTGTGTTCTTTCTCAAATGTTTCTGTAAGTGCCAGTAGTGTTTCTCTGCTCACTAACTCTTGGATCTGTTGTTGGATTTCAGCTTTCTCTACAGGTCTATCGCCACTGTTCATCATGATTCATCTAATTATGCAGGTTGGTGTAAGTTATGCTGAAGTCATACCATCTCTACAACTTTCTTTGGAAATGTTTCTCACTTGTGGAAACCTGAGCGGCAACTGTGCTGTGTGTTCCTCTTACTCAGGAATCCAGGGCAGTAAGCAACCCCTGTCTGGATGCTGGTGGGGCTCAAAACAGCAGGTGAAGAAGTATCTGAGCTGTGTGATAGCTTCTGGTTTAGAAGTGCTTGCCATTTCTCCTCACATTTCATGGACCACGTGAAATTCTACAGCCAAGTCTGATGCTAAGGCAGGGAGGATAACTCTTTTATTAAAAGAAATATGACATGTTGGCAGTAGCAAAATTTCCAAAACCTATACTTTTCAGCTTTGACATCTAATACTTCCTCCTATTCTGACAGGAATACATTCCAGATTTTCTGAAGCTGAGGATTAGTTATATGAAGCCCCATACATGTTTTCCCCATACATACACATCTGTGGCACATATTTATAGAGCAATAACTTACTGTATATCTTAGCACCATCAGAATGCTGTTTTTCTTCTTTCGTGTGTTCAGAACTTTTACCTTTTTACTTAAAGGAAGAACTTTGTAGCATCTCTTTGGCATAATTGAATGGTTAGAATGACCTGTCCTGAAATTCAGGGTCATTTATAGATTGAAAGTAAGGCTTATTTGAATGCTAAGTAAGACTAAAGGGTTTGAAGCCTACACAGGTGTGGACAGGTCAGGACACAACTTGCCGTGAGACACAACTTGAAATATAGAAAATATTTTGGAATTTCCTATTCTGTGCTTTTGGACAATGGGTGACTGTGGGTGACTAACTCTGTAGAAAGGGAAACTTTGATAAAGGGGTAACTACGGTAATTAGACTTAGATCTGAGTGGGCAAAAGACTTCTTTGTTGAGTTTTTCTTAGCAGTGCTGAGCACAGTCTTCTCTGGAACCTCTTCGTTCTCGCCCTTTTCACAGATATTTGTCATCATCACTTTCTCTTTCATTATCTTCTCTGAGTAAATATTTTTCAGCTGAACTTTGTTGATTTGGAATTTCACCACGATTTTTCCCTTAGCTTGTGGCAGCTCTCCTTCATACTGGATTCTGGAGAGCTAGCTCATCAAGACAAGGGAAGCCTGAAATTTTTATTTTAAACTGTGTTGAGACACTAGGACAGAGGTCCCGTATTTAGAGCTTGATAATTTCCTTTGTTCCTTTCTGAATGGAACCACTCTGATTGAAGCTCACATGTGCCAGCAAATGCATTAACCCCCAGATGTTACCTGATAGTATCAGAGTTCATAGAGCAGCAACTTTTCTGAGCTTTGCTTATATTTTATAAAAATAATGTCACATTACCTACACTCTATATATGCTCTATGGGTTATGGGTGGAGTCAAGCACAGCCTTTACAATTTCTTTGTGTTAAATACTCTCTCACTTTAAACTAAAGGACATTTTATGGTTGTTTCATAGCCCAAAATACCTGGAATGGCTGTTCCAGAGCTAAATACCATCTGCCTTATGATCCTTTTGTTGCTTAGATATTTTAGTTCTACTGGATTGCAATTTATATTCATGTGGAAAATCATAATTTCTGGCTAATACAGATACTCTTTGAATTAAATATGTCTGCCATAATTGTTTTTTATTAAAAGTGATGTTCTTTTTTATAGTTTTATTAATGATCTCACAATTAAAATCTATGTACTGTGTATATTTTCAGAAACTGTGGGTGTCAGCCGTGTGACCCAGTACTAACCTTTTCTCAGACCACCAGACTGACTTTTCCAACAGCGAGCTTGACCAGGCTGCCTGAGTTTCTCTGGCTCCTGGAGAGCTCTCTGAAAGGACATGTTGGGAATTAATGTCCTAGGAGCAACGGCACTTGACCAAAGAGTGTTATAACAGCAGTTGATGGCTGACTGCCCAGCTCCCTTGGCCCTGTGTGGTCTCGGCAGGATGCTTGTTTAGCAGTGTCCCATGAAGTTCTCCCGTGGACTGAAGCCCACTTTCTCACAGAAGTTCAGTTGCTCCTTCCCGGACTTTGCCCTTCACTTTCCTCCTGGCACTTTCTTGGATTAACTCCAAATTAAATTGCTTGAATGTAATCTGAGTCTTAGAGTTTCTAAGGGGAGTTGAAACCCAAATAAGCATCTATATATCAGCATTTGTGATTTGACAATTTCCCCATTTCAGTAAAGTTCAATAATAATAATACAATACAAAATATATACTCAGTTAAAACTGTTCTAGGGACCACATTTAAAAAGTGTGAAGAAACAGGTGACATTAATTTTAAAAATGTAGCTTTATACAACCAAAATTTTATTTTAAATGCTATTGATATATATTAATGAGCTCATTTGTTTTATTTGGAAATCTGCTGTGCATTCTACCCCGGCAATGTAAAGCATTTACAATGCATCGCTCCTTGGACCACTCTCATTAACATACACATGTGGCTAGCAGCTACTATATTGAACAGAGGTGATAAATTCTATATTATTATTGCCTTTATGCCAAAATTAAAAGAAGCAACAGTTATTGAGTGTATAGAAGGCTGTCTGGTGGTTCACATTTTCTACTCTTAGCAAAATCTTATTTGCATTCTTGTCTTCGTTTAAGTAGAACGTCTATAAATACCTAGACTGATGAGCATATTATCTAGTTCTCTCTGTGCCCATATTTGTGTTCTTTTAAGAATTACCTTCCAGAAATAATAACTGAGCTTTATTGCTTCTTGCATGTTTGCATGTAAAATATAGGCAAAATGTTTAGCATCTCTGTGCTTTTGTGTTTTTCAGGCGGAAGGCACCAGACTTCAGCGAGAGCTCCGAGGGTATTTAGCAGCAATCAAAGGTAATGTGTATGTGTGTTGTTTACTGCCTGTTACCAAGCACAAGTTGTTCTTGGAATTTGTAAGAGACAGGAATGAATGTTAATTACAAAGTCATTTGGTTTTCCGGCAAGTAGAGTCCTTGAACACAGGTGTTTCATTCCACCCACCTCCAAATCCCCATTGAAATGATAATCAGATATACAAGGACAAATATATATTTGCCCTTCTGCTAGAAACCAAGAATAAATGCCACCCACATGCCAGAGATTTCTAGGAAGACTTTATAGGAAGAGTGAGCTTGAGACCTTATTTAAGCAAAGCTGTAGCTGGCTTCCATCCTGATGGAGGGAAGGTCCCAAGGGTAGAAAGCTCACAGACTCACTTAAGCCCTCTTGCTGGAAGGGGAAAGAAGTTGCAGTAGAAGCAGGGGGAGGGGGAGGGGACCAGGAAACATGTGCTGTGACTTGCAAAAAACAACTGTGCATACAGCCCTGCCAGAGAGTAATCTAGGGAACAGACTGGCCTTTGCACTGATTTCTAGCCTTAGCCATGTGAAAGAAGGGGGCCAGTGGAGGAGGGAGGAGGGAAGAGGGAAGAGGGAGGAAGCAGGAGATGCGTGCTCAGCCAGGCTGCTCTCCATTTACCAGCAGGCTCCCTGCTCTGAGTAAGAGCCAAGTGCACACAAGCATATTTGTCACCGAGCAGACCTTGAGATTAGTAGGGAGAGGATGGAGAATTTACAAAGAGCCTTGGAAAAACTGTCCAAACAGAAAAGCAAGGGGCCCAACTTCACATTTCACTGCTTCCTATCTAGATGAAGATTTAAGTATGCACATGTAGAAAAGTCTCAGCTTTAGACTAAAATACAATACGTTTAGTCTTCATTTAGGGTGAATGAAGTCTTTACAAGATACCCCAAAGGATATAAACCAAGAAGAACAAGAGGTTTGACCTTATAAATATGCAAACAAGTGTTTAAAATTACCATAATTTTGGCAATATAGTCAACGAAATTGAAACAAGATATACAAAAGTTAGTAAGAAACATAAATGGAGATTAGTTTCTTTTTAAAAATGAGTAAAATATTTGAAGAGAAAATTAGCTTCAGGAGAATTACCCAGGAGAGGCTGAAACAGGATGATCACGAGATCAAGGCCACCCTGGACAACTTAGTGAAACTCTGACTTAAAATCCAATTTGAAAGGGGCTGGGGCAGGTGATGCAGTGGTAGAACTGCTTACTTGGCGAGCTCAGCTGAAGACCAGGGTTCAGTCCCCAGCACTGGAAAAACAAAAACAGTCCAAAACCCTCTGATGGACGTGATGTACAAAATTCTTATTCTTAGGAATTGCCAAAGATTATTAATGAAAATAAAGCAGGAGATGCTATCACCACCCCTCTGAACATTCTGTAGCATGAAAAGTTTCTCTTTAAGATAGCATTTTTTTTTTTTTTTTTTTGGAGAAGTTTGGTAAAAGCTTTTAAATGAATATCCTTTCACTTTTTCTCAGAACTTTTGACATAGCACTTCATTTCTAAAAAACATTTTACTTATTAATTTTCTTTTATGTGTATAAGTATAGTGCCTACCTGTATATAAGTGTACCTGTGTCGTTCAGTGCCCTCGGAGCTCAGAAGAGTCCATTGGATTCTCCTGAACTGGCGTTAGAGATGGTTATTAGGAGCCATGTGGGTGTTGGAAATCAAACCTGAGTCTTCCACAAGAGAAGCCAGTGCTCTTATCTGCTAAGCCTCACCATTTTAAAGAATGTATTCACAGTTCAGTATGACTGTGTAAAACTGATTATAAAGATACTGATAAACAATGAAATACTGAAAAGCTTAATAATAAAAACATAGTGATAATGATTAATGGAATTTATTTTATTTTATTTTTATTTATTTTTTGTCTTTTTGAGACAGGCTCTCTCTGTAGCCCCAGCTGTCCTGGAACTCACTATGTAGACCAGGCGGGCCTCGAACTCACAAAGCTCCATCTGCCTCTGCCTCCCAAGTGCTGGGATTAAAGGCGTGTGCCACCACGCCTGGCTTTATTTTTAAACAAAAAGGTAGGTAGGCATTTTACATGACAGGTACACACTTTTTTAAATTAAAATATTTTATTTATTATTTTTATTTTTTATGTGTGTGAGTGTATTGCCTGCATGTATATGAGTGCACCCATGTCGTGCATTGCCACAGAGGTCAGAAAAGGGCTTTGGATTCCCCTGGAACTGGAGTTAAGGATGGTTCATAGCCGCCATGTGGGTGCTGGGTATTGAACCCGGGTCCTCTGAAAGAGCAGTCAGTTCTTTTAACCGCTGAGCCATCTCTCTAGCCCCATCAGATACACACTTCTAACACTCATGAAAATTCTGTGAGACAGGTACGTTTATTGCCTGAATTTTCTAAGATTTATTTTTATTTTAATCATAGTGCCTGTGTGTTTGTGGGTGTGTTTGTGCACATTAGTGAATTGTCCCATGGAGGCCAGAAGAAGGCGTTAGATCTCCCTGAAGCTGGAGTTACAGGGCAGTTGTGTGGTGCCCAGTGTGGGTGCTGGGAACCAAACTCAGGTCCTCTACAAGAGCAGTATGTACTCTTAATCACTGAGCCATCTCTCTAGCCCCTATCTGCATTTAATAGATAAGAAAAATGAGACTCAGAAGTTAAGTAGCAAGGCCAAAGTCACTGCTTAGTAAACACCATATACAGTACAAAGTCGTTGTCTTCCCTGTACCCTTGCTTTTATCTACTTTCTTACACTCTCTTTAAACTTCATCACTAATAATAGAGCATTGGTTTCAATAGTTCTAGCTCAGCTATACAATGAAATAATGGCGGCTTACTTCCCTATTCCCTTTAAAAAATATACCTATCTATCTCTGTATCTATCAATCTGTCTATGTATCTATCTGTCATGTTATCCATCTATCTATCTATCTATCTATCTATCTATCTATCTATCTATCTATCTATCTATCATCTATCTATCCATCCATCCATCCACCCACCCATCAATCAGTCATCTATCTATCATCAATCGTTTGTGTGTGTATGTGCATGTACACAGGTGCAGATGCATGTGGAGATCAGAGGACAACTTTTGGAAATCAGTTCTCTCCTCACTGATCCTCCTTCTTAGTCTGTATGCTAAGCATTCACTTACTTTGTGTTAGTCTTTGTACTAAGATTTTAGGCATGTTACCTGTTTATAACCTTCAAGATAGCCATATGATAAATGTCATTAACTCTATTTTACATTTTCAAAGAAATAATGCTAAGAGAATTTAATCACACAGATTTATGAAGCTCATAATTAAGTGCTCCAAAACTAACTTTAAGTATAATTTACAATAGTTCTATCTTCTACATAATTCTATATAATTTGCTCTATTTCATGTCATAATACAGAGAGTGTTGTGGGAAAAGACTGGCATCATTCTTTTCTTTAATATAGCCTAGAAAGGGAATCCACTTGATGAGGCATCAGCTCCAGAGAGAAGTTGGGTAGCATATGTGCCTGCCTCCTGCTCCTGATGGCCACATCTCTGTGAGGGAGAAAGGATTGTGGGCTCCCTCCTCCTACTGATGACTGAGCCATATTATCAAGTTATACTCTCCAAACCAAGTTCTGTGTTGAAGTTACTTTGGCCAAGATGGTTCAGATGGATGTTTAAGCAGATTCCTACTGAGTTTCTCTGAGCCCTTCCTATGTTATTGTGATCTTCAGAGCTGCTGTGGACTAGGCTGAATTTCCTGGAGTTATTTGACTGGAGAGTTCTTCTCTCTTTGCAAAGTCTCATGAAATATTACTAAAGTTCCTCGGAAAACATTTTGTTTTGGGGAAAACACTTAAACACTAGACATATGCATTAAGTAGATCATGATTGCCTTTGGAAAATATGAGGCCAATATTTGCTTTCACAGAGAACTCTGCTGATAGTTACCATAACACATTTAACATCATGCCGCATTTTAGCAGCAACACAGAGTGAGATCTGGCCCTGGGGATTCCTGGGACCTGAGGCAGTTTTGGGAGAAGCATTGTGTTCCTCTCTCTAAAGTCTGCATTGGGTTCTCTCTAAAGGGCTCAGCTTCTTTGCTAAGCACCTAACCAACGCTCTGAAACAGAGGTTCTGTGAAATTGAGTTAAATGAATTATACTCTCCATCTTATCAGTGATCTCTGGTTGGCAGTCACCCTGAAGGATTTTATAATTTCGTACAACTGCTTACCTCAAGTCATTAGCTAGTTGACATTTTTTTTTTTAATTAAAAGAAGCATTTCATTGCAACAGCATTAACCTATTCAATAACATTTTTCTGGTGAGTATTCAATTTTTAAAAATTAAAAAAATAATTTTTTAATATATAATAGCTAAGTAATTGTTTATTCACTTAGAGCTATTTACTTGTCTTTTTTAAGGCTATTTTTTTTAATTAAAAGAAGCATTTCATTACAACAGCATTAACCTATTCAATAACATTTTTCTGAGCTAGGGTACATCTCTTTCAAAATTGGCTGTACATTTCTAGGTTTACAGATGAATTATTACGCTTATATAATCTTTTACTCATTATAAACTCTATAAGACATAAAATTAAATGAGGTTCCAACGTTTAAAAAAGATCTCCACCTCATTAGTTGACATTTTTAATTCTATGAAGATCAGGAGATTAGATTAGGAATGGTCTTGCCAAGGATCCAGAAGGAGAGCACAGGTAGTCACTTAATGATTAAGTATGATCAAGGAAGAGCTTGCTGTTGGAGGGTCAGCTCAGAGGAATAGGAGGCAGGATGGAGTATGAGAGCCTAAAGAAAAAACTAAACCATCAAGGTACAGGCAGAAAAGTGAGCTGGCTTGTATAAAGAAGGGTTGTATGTCTTGCTATCTTTATTCTATCAGTAGGGAGGGAGTCATTAAGTAACTGAAGTTAAAGCAATAAAACAGAAGGTCAAATTAGTATTTCAGAAAAGGGGATATCGAGATTGTGTGGCATTTAAACTAGAGCAAGT